GTTCTCAGAGTTTCTTTGCAGCCAGCACCCTTAGGCACTTTTCCAGAAGCAGAGTGCCACGGTCTGGGGCTCCGCAGGGCCCAAGCGCCCCCTGGCAGAGGCCAGACCCAGTCCATCGAGAGGACATGTTTTATCAGTCCCCAGCAGTCCACCCCGCCTGCACCGATGGGGCCACCAGGCAGGGACATTTTACAGACAGATCCCAGGGCTGCATCCCGCCGCGGAAACGGGCGGACATCGCATCCCCTGGCCCTTTAGCGCGCCTTCTTCACCCATTACCTGGGCTCTGCTGGGCAGGGCCTTGCCTCTGTTCTGACGCACTCCTGCGAGGGCTCTGCCTTGGGAGCTGGGGGTTGAGGGGTGTGGGGGGCAGCCCCACACCCAAGAGGGCCTGGAGGGGCGGGACAAGCTGGTCCTCTGGGCCACCTCCTAGGGGCTCCTTGCCCCACCCCCCCACGCCTGGGCGGCCTGGCCCGGGACACTGGCACTGCCATCTGGGCGCCCACATGCCCAGGCAGCTGCGCTGACTCAAGGGAAGCCACCGCCCCCTGCCTGGCAGACATCCCTCAGCTGAGTGTGTGTGTCGGGGGGGCCAAAGCTGACTCTCCCACACTGCAGAGTCCATCAGCACCTACCCCTGCTGTGCGAGAAACTGGGCCAGAGAGGGCACCCAGAGCTGCTGCACACTGCGGGGGGCATCTAACCTCTCTGGGCCTCAGTGTCTGCATCCATTAAATGGGCATAACCAGTCACCACCTCCTGGTGGTCCAGGCAGGGGGCCAGGGTCCCAGCTCCTTGGCCAGCTCCACTGTGCCTGAGAACCCCAGCGACACATTCAGGGACCCTCCCCTGTGCAGGTCCCACTGTTAGGACAGTCCAAGGTGGGGGGGTCACCTGAGGCCCAGGCCCTCCACAGGGAGGAATCCGAGCCTTGAGCCTTGCATGCTGAGGGGTGCTGCTTTCTGTACGCCAATCCCTGCAAGGGCTGCCAGGGGCCAAGGAGACCCCCAGGTCCAGCTGGGCCAGGGCAGACACAAGCTGGGCCTGGGGGTTCCTGCAAGGGGACCAGCTACTGGGGTGGGAGGCAGCTTGGGGGTGGCCCTGCCAGCCTCAGACTGGGCTGGGGTACTCCTGGGCCCGGAGCCAGCGAGGGCGGGGTGCAAAGGCATGAGCTTGTCTTCCAGGGGTGGGCGGGTAAAATGGCAGAAGCGGGAT